CATCATAGTGTCATCGTTGATCTTGCTCCCTCTATTTCTGTGTTTGTTACTCGGCATAGTTAATTCTTCTTGCGTCACTGTGCGTTTTTTTTTTTTTTTATACTGTGTCCGTGTTAAGTGGACTGCCTGCTGTTGGAGGAGCCTTGGAGGCTTGAGATGGGTGCGGCCTGAGAGCTCTGCCTGGTTCTTCCTGGTTAAGGGTGTGCAAAGGTGACACCCTCAGGTTATGCGTGGTAAATCTCTCTCTTTTTATTTATTTATTTATTTTATTTATTCAGGGGGTAAGTAACACTGCAGGGCAGGGCTGTGCAGAATTGATGGTATTTAGCTTCCAGTCTTTGGCTCCTCTGGACTCCCACTGGGTTGCCTAGGCTACTGAATTGTAGTGACTCAGTTCCTTAACTCTCCCCCATTGATATGTAAATCCAGAGAGGAGGTCTGCTCTTTGTCTCTTGGGAATTCTTCAAGCCTTGCAGCCTTGTAACCTTTGCAAGGTTAGGGGGGAGAGAAACCCCGAAGCTTTTTTTTTTTTCCTTCTTTCCGGTAGTGAGTTTGCTGCACTTTCCGGCCCCCCTCTAGATTCTGACCCCCGTTTCCCCACCAATGTCTCGGGTTATTGAGCTCACCTCCCCTTCCAGCGCCGATGTGTGGACTCGGAGCCCTGAGCGTCCCAAGTCTCCCCGCTGTTGTCTGTGTGGCATACACTCCCCTTGGAGCACTGGCATGCAGACCCTGGGGCTTCTGCGGCTCAGTCCCGCGACTTGGCTTCCGCGCGGTGGGCGACCTTGTTCTCCCAGTAGGTCCTCCGATTCACGGCTGCTCCATCAAGAAGGGTTTCCCCTGCAATTTTTTTTTTGGTTCTATTTTCTGCGGCTACCATAACTCCCCTTTTATTAAACTAAATTTTCCCGGACTATCGGTGCGCGCCCTCACTATTCCGCCATCTTGGCTCCGCCCCCCCTTCCAATGTGATTGATTTTCGAACACTGAACCATCCCTGCATACCAGGGATAAATCCCACTTGGTTCGTGTGAATGATCTTTCTGATGTGTAGTTAGATTCGGTTTGCCAGGATTTTGTTTAGTATTTTTGCATCTATGTTCATCAGGGAGATAGGTCTATAGTTTTCTTTCTCTGCTGTGTCTTTCCCGGGCTTAGGAATTAAGGAAATATTGGTGGCCAGCATCATGGCTCACTAGGCTAATCTTCTGCCTGCAGCACTGGAACCCCAGGTTCTAGTCCCGGTTGGGGTGCCGGTTCTGCCTGGTTGCTACTCTTCCAGTCCAGCTCTCTGCTGTGGATCAAAAAAGCAGTGGAGGATGGCCAAGTGCTTGGGCCCTGCACCCACACAGGAGACCAGGAGGAAGCACCAGGCTCCTATCTTCAGATCGGTGCAGCATGCCGGCTGCAGTGGCCATCTGGGGGGTGAACCAACGGAAGGAAGACCTTTCTCTCTGTCTCTCTCTCCCACTGTCTAACTCCCCTGTCAAAAAGAAAAGATGATATTGGCTTCATAGAAAGAATTTGGGAGGATTCCCCCCCTTTCAATTGTTTTGAATAACTTGAGAAAAACTGGGGTTAGTTGTTCTTCAAAAGTCTGGTAGAATTCAGTGGTGAAGCCATCCGGTCCTGGGCTCTTCTTTTTCCGTAGTGCGTTTATTGATGATTCAATTTCTTTCATGGTTATGGGTCTGTTTATGTTTTGTATATCTTCATGGCTCAGTTTAGGAAGGTTGTAAGGGTCCAGGAATCTATCCATTTCTTCCAGGTTCCTCAATTTGTTAGCTTACATCTCTTTGTAATGGTTTCTGATGATTCTTTTTATTTCTGTTGTGTCGTTACATTTCCATTACCATCATTACTTTTATGGATTTGGGTCTTCTCTCTCCTTTTGTCAGTTCGTTGGTCCAATGGTGTGTCTATTTTGTTTATTTTTTCAAAGAGCCAGCTCCTGGTTTTGTTGATCTTTTGTATTGTTTTTTTTTTTTGTTTGTTTGTTTCAATTCTGTTTATTTCTTCTCTAATCTATAGTAGTTCTTTTCTTCTGCCTGGTTTGGGTTGGATTTGCTGCTGTTTCTCTATATCCTTGAGGTGCATTGAGAGGTCATTTGTTTGGTTCCTTTCCAGTTTCTTCATGTAGGCACCAATTGCTATAAGCTTTCCTCCTAGCACTGCTTTTACTGTATCCCACAAGTTTTGATAGGTTGTGCTCTCATTTTCATTTGTTTCTAGAAATCCTTTGATTTCTCTTGATTTCTTCTATGACCCAGTGTTCATTCAGAATCATGTTGTTCATTCTCCATGTATTTGCATATGGTGTAGAGATTCTTGGGTTGTTGATTTTGAGTTTCACTGTGCTATGGTCTGAGAAGCTGCATGGTATAGTTTCAATTTTTTTGAATTTGTTGAGGCTCCCTTTATGGCCTAGCATATGGTCAATCCTAGAGAATGTTCCATGTACTGGGGAGAAATACGTGAACTCTGTGGCTGTGGGGTGAAAGGTTCTGAAGATATCTATTAGGTCTATTTGGTCTATAGCATCAATTAACTCTGTTGTTTCCTTGTTGAATTTCTGTCTGGTTGATCTGTCCATTGGTGAGAGTGGCATGCTGAATGCCCCTGTAACCATTGTATTTGAATCTATATCTCCCTTTAAGTTCTTTAGTAATTCTTTCAAGTAGTCAGGTGCCCTGTAATTAGGTGCATATACATTTATAATAGTAATGTCTTCATGTTGGATTGATCCTTTAATCATTATATAATGCTCTTCTTTCTCTCTTTTAATAGTTTTTGTGTTAAAGTCTATTTTGTCTGATATTAGGATGGCCACCCCAGCTCTTTTTTGATTTCTGTTAGCTTGAAATATCTTTTTCCACCCTTTCACTTTCAGTCTGCATGCATCTTTGCTGATAAGGTGTGTTTCCTGAAGGCAGCATATAGATAGATTCTCTTTTTTAATTCAATCCGCTAGTCTGTCTCTCTTGGTTGTAGAGTTGAGGCCATTTATATTCACTGTGACTATTATTAAATACTGTCTTTTTCCAGTCATGGTTCCTTAAACAAGCTGTTTATGTATTTTGAGATTTGTTTGTAGTTTAGTTGGCTCATTTTCTACATTCACCTTTTTTGTAGTGAAGTTCTTGTTTCTGTATTTCTGTGTGCAGCACGTCTTTGAGCCAGTGTTGTAGGGTTGGGTGTGAGGATACAAAGTTTCTGTTTGTCATAGGAAATCTTTATTTCCCCTACATTCATATATGATAGCTTTTCAAGGTATAGTATTCTAGGTTGTCATTGTTTGTCTTTTAAAACTTGGAATATATCATGCCATTATCTCCTTGCCTGTAGTGTTTGCGATAAATCTGGGGTGAGTCTGATTAAATTATCCTTGAATGTGATTCATCGTTTCTCTCTGGCACAATTTAGGATTTCTTCTTTGTGTTTCACTGAGCTGAGTGTTGCCACAATGTGTTGCGGTGAATTTCTCTTCTGGTCTAATTTACTGGGGCTCCTGAGTATTTGTTGAATTTGGTTGTTTCTATCAATTTGCCTCTGTTGGAAGTTTTCTGATATTTCATTGAAAATATTATACAAATAGAATTACACATAAACTGTATACACATGTTTATAAGTTTGGACTTGCCAGCAGCAGCCAGGGACGTCAGGTTCCAGAAATTTATTATGAAAAATTATGCTTGGATTTCTAATTTATTTAACAGAATTCATCTGATATTTTATTCAATATTGTTAAACTCTAAAAATATTATTTGAAAATCAAAGTTACTGTAAGAGAGTGAGAGACAGAAAGAGAAAAGGAGACAGATCTTGCATCTGCTGATTCACTCCACAATGGCTGCAAGGACCAGGACTGGGAACACTCTAAGCCAGGATGCAGGAGCTTCAACTGGATCTCTCATGTGAGTGTAGGGGCCCAAGCAGTTGGACCATCATCTAATGATTTCCCATGTACATTGGCAGAGACCTGAACCAGCAGTAGAACAACAGTAATTTAACCAGCACTCACAGGGATGCTAGGCACTGTGGACAGCAGCTTCACCTGCTGCACCACAAGGCCAGCCCACATTTTGCTAAAGTAAAAAAATATTGATATGAACATAATAGATTTCATGTATTTCATAGATACAATTCTAAGAAGATATCCATTCTTCCTTCCCTCCCTCTCTCATTCTCCCCTCCTTCCTTTCTTTTTAATTTTTGCAAAAATAGCATTTCAATTTGCTTTATAATCACAGGTGTAATGCCACAGTAATCATAATGATTCATAAATGAAAGGTAGAAAGACCATGTTCCACAGGAACTTACACAAGATGATAAGCAAAAATGAAATCCAAGAAATCAGTTTCATTTTGATACATGGTGGGGTTTTTCTTTGCATCTATAGTAACTACTACACATCACAGAAAACAAATTGTATTTTCTGATTGGAACTGGTTTATTTCAGTAAGCATAAGCATAAAGGTCTCCAGTTACATCCATTTTTTGTCAAAGAGAGGATTTCATTCTATTTGGTAGGGGGTATATTTTGAAAAGTGCACATGTTTGCACTCACCTATGGAACCATTACAATAATCAAGATATTGCATATATAAAGCCATGTTGTTTACATTTGGAAAACTAAGATGAGCTTTCCTAAACCTCTAACAATCTTTCATGGTCACCCACCCTGTGAGACACATCCTGTGATTTCTCTGGATTCAAATGGTCCCCATCATTTTAGTGGGTGTTGGGGTGTAGAATTCCCTGCATTTGAACAATGATATGATGATCATTCAGACAAAAGTCAGCCTCCACCAAATAGAAAACCTGAGGATACACGGGAGGCAAAAGAAGGATTTCTCAGTCATATGCAGCTCCCACCTCTAATCTGAATGTTCTCCCTCTTTCCAATTGTGCCTCCCCTCCAGCTTCATCCACTCCTGAAGAAAATCCAATTTACCAACAGTGCTGGGGAGGATGTTTCCTTCCATGAAACAAGACACCATATGGCACATTATGATATCCACAACATTGTGAATTTTCCTGCTGGATTTCGTTTGCTGATTAAAATCGGGGAGTTCTCCTCTGAGAGTGCACATGACCAAGGCTTGGTCCTCAATGAAGAGATGATAGAATGGCCTATAGCATTCAAGAAGGTGTGGATCCATGGAAATATTCGATACATACAGTGGGTCTGAGAGGAGATTAAGTGCGAGATTTTAAATAAGCATTCAATTCTCAATTATCATCTTGGCTTCAAAAGATATGGTGTCCCTTACACATATATGAGTCAATGTGTATTAGAAGTTTATGTTTGTATTAGTTATTGCTGTTTTTACTTTGGAAATAATTATGCATTCAGATGTTGAGTGACTAAAATGAGCAATGTTAATGAATAGAGATAGATATCAGTATATAGACATAAAATTACAAAATACATGTGTACAGAAATTCTAAATTTTTTCAATTTTTTATTTATATAAGGTGAAAAATTTTCACTTCATGTATATATATAGATATATAGATTTAGAAGAACAGTGATATCTTAAATATGGTGAGAGTCATATATTTTAATGCAGCATGAACACAAGTAAATTATAAGTTGATCTATCCATCGCCTATTTGTAGCAAGCATTCTCATTTTCATTGTCATTGTGGTTGCCAATAAGTGCAGTTTCTTTTCTGCATAGCATCTCACAGCTGTGGTCAAATGTTTTATCATCATTCTACTGTCAAAATCCCCCAGGGAATTTTGTGGGTGATTTGTGTAACTATCATGCTTTATGCCCAAAATGCATTCTTAGTTTCTTGAAATTGATACTCTTCCTGAATCTAGAAGTCCAGAAGAGGATTAGATACACAATCCATATCTTTATAACATTTGCTCATCATTTCTCTGTGGCCTTGTCTTTTTCTGAATACTCAGTCTCAAATATACACATTACAGAATAATGATATGAATGTTAAAGATTTCAGAGGAAGAAATGTAGTAGAAAGAAACAAAGGCCTAGAAGAATAGATCTGGTGATGAACAAAATTACAGCAATCAGGTACCCTCATAATGTTTGGTAGACAATTGACAAACCTGGAATGAGCATCATAGAAACTACAAATTGGATGTATGAAAAAATCAACAAGACAGAGAATGGGGAAGACAGTGATGACCTTCAGAGTGATGGGGCAAATAGAGACATCTTATCACAGTGCCTATTGATGTGCAAAACAATGACCATCGCTTCTCTTTCCCCCTCAGACTCCTCAGTCTTTATGTGGCCAGAGGTGTGGTCCAGGATTCAGGAAAATGCCACAGGAAGGAAGAGCTGTCTGCTGCTATATTTGTGTTATTTGTCCAGAGAGAGACATTTCCAATCATACAGGTAGAAAACATGTAACTCACTATGAAAACTCCACCATCTTAACTATTTTTAGATAAAAAGGAAACCAAGAATCTTTATAATGGGATAAGAGTGCCCCATTGTTCTCTATGCACACTTTCACTCACTCTTTCCATACACTTGTTGTATGCTCACTCTCGCCATCTCAGTAGTCTGGTGGTGCTCATCCTCTCTAGCTCAACACTGACACTGATTCTCTCTGATATCCTTCTTTTCCATCCAGTGCTAGATGAGGCTGTCTCAATCTGAGATCTTCTAGTAGGCCTACTAATGTCTGAACAAAAAATATCAGATGAGCATTTGTTAAGGCTCTCTAAGGATTTCTAGAAATCTTGAAATCAAAACTTTTCCATACACACCTGAGAAACAGGGAGCTACTTCACAGGAATTGTGATGGGAATACTGTATTACTTTCTGTGCTGGGTCTTTTACATAGTGCGTGCTGTGTAGTACACATAATGAGTGCCTCCCTTTGTCCTTTTGTTTTCTATACTAGAATAAGAGAAAATAAGTGTGAAATATACAGACAAAACATCCTAATAACTATGCAACTACATAACACCTCCAGTCCTCCAGTCCATGAAGCTTGTATGATTACCAACTTAAAACCTGAGAAGCACTTTACTACAAGTGTGGACCAACTAATATCATTTCCTTTCTTTTAAAAAATATTTTTTTTTAATTTCAAAGAGTTACAGAGGAGACAGAGAGAGAGAGAGAGAGAGAAAGAGATTCCATCTACTTATTCAAGCCCCAGACATGCACAATTGACCAGGTTTGGCAAGGCAGATGCCAGCAGCCAGGTTCATTTGGGTCTCCCACATGGGTTCAGGGGACCCAAGTACTTGGGCCATCTTCTGCGGCTTTTTCCAGGCCATTAGCAGGGAGCTGGATTGGAAATGGATTACTGGAACACAAAACAATGTCCATAAGGGATGCTGGCATTGCAGCTGGTGGCTTTACATATCATGCCACAACACTGAATCTACTTTTGTTTCTTAAATTGACATATGATTGAGAGAGAGACATGGTCACCAACTGGCCTGTTCTTAATGACTTCCTTCATGCTGCTGCTGCAGAAGTGTATTACTTCAACAGAGACAATGTGGTGTCCATGTGGTGTTCACATGACTAAAATGATGAACAAGCCATGCTTTCAGTGAAAAGGAGTGGAAAGTTCTCTTTAAATACTGTGATGAAAATATCACTTACTCCCATACAACCATTAAAAAACTAGTAGTGGTGGCGCCGTGGCTCACTAGGCTAATCCTCCGCCTTGTGGCGCCGGAACACCGGGTTCTAGTCCCGGTTGGGGCGCCGGATTCTGTCCCGGTTGCCCCTCTTCCAGGCCAGCTCTCTGCTGTGGCCAGGGAGTGCAGTGGAGGATGGCCTGAGTCCTTGGGCCCTGCACCCCTTGGGAGACCAGGATAAGTACCTGGCTCCTGCCATCGGATCAGCGCAGTGCGCTGGCCACAGTGCGCTGGCCGCGGTGGCCATTGGAGGGTGAACCAACGGCAAAGGAAGACCTTTCTCTGTCTCTCTCTCTCACTGTCCACTCTGCCTGTCAAAAAATTAAAAAAATAATAAAAAAAACTTTAAAAAAAACTAGTAGCAATAATTCTTTTCTATGCAATCACAGCATATCAACATTTATATGGAAAGAGTGATGAGTCCATGCAGGAAATTAGAGTATTGACTGATGTATGGAAGTCCTAGGAGTGATAGATATTTTAAATAGGTCATCTACATTTGAGTATTAAAAAAAAAAACCTTAAACCTGGTGACCGCAGACAAATATTTTAACCCATGTGAACACAAGCTTCTCCAGAGAAAAACACTAGGGACAGTAGAGAAGAGGGTTTGGAAGAATCTATGCCCATATGAAATACAGGAAATACATCACTTTGAGAAAATAAAACACTGAAAGAAATATCTCTGAGTGACAAAATGAGTCCCCAGAGCCCCATGTGCTAAGGAGCTTGTTTCAGTGAGCTTCCTACACCTAGAGACGAGCATTCTCTCTGGGTCAGGAGTGCAGAAATATACTTTAGTGTGTCCTGGTACACATTAGAGCAGGCTGGACTCACCATGACATTGCAAAGGGGACCATTTTCCTTAACAGGGAAAAAGGAGCAAATTGTGAAGTGGAGACAGTCTTCCTTTTCTCCGCAGATGCAGAGCAGTGCATCCCATGTGCAGATCACGAGTACCCAAACATGGAGAGAAACCGCTGCCTCCCCAAGCTGGTGACATTCTTAGCCTTTGAGGATGCCCTGGGGACGGCTCTGGCCTCCGTGGCTCTGTCCTTCTCTGTCCTCACAGCTGCAGTCCTCTGGGTCTTTGTGAAGCACCGAGACACTCCCATCGTCAAGGCCAATAACAGGACCCTCAGCTACATCCTGCTCATCACCCTCCTCCTGTGCTTCCTCTGCTCCTTACTCTTCCTTGGCCGTCCAAACACAGCCACCTGCCTTCTCCAGCAAATAGCATTTGGCCTTGTGTTCACAGTGGCTGTTTCCACCGTGCTGGCCAAGACCATCACTGTGATTCTTGCTTTCAAAGTTACAAAACCTGGAAGAACTATCAGGCGATTGCTGGTATCAGGAGCTTCTAACTTCATCATTCCCATCTGCTCCTTGATCCAAGTGGCTCTCTGTGTCATCTGGTTGGGAATTTCTCCTCCATTTATTGAGTTAGATGCACATTCTGAGCCTGACCACATCATCCTGGTGTGCAATAAGGGTTCAGTCACTGCCTTCTACTGTGTCCTGGGCTACCTGGGTTCCTTGGCCCTGGCAAGCTTCACTGTGGCTTTCCTAGCCAGGAATCTGCCTGACACATTCAATGAAGCCAAGTTCCTGACCTTCAGCATGCTGGTGTTCTGCAGTGTCTGGGTGGCCTTCCTGCCTGTCTACCACAGCACCAAGGGGAAGGTCATGGTGGCTGTGGAGATCTTCTCCATCTTGGCCTCCAGTGCAGGGCTCCTGGGCTGCATCTTCCTCCCCAAGTGCTACATTATTCTCATAAAACCTGATAAAAATTCTTTGAAAGCTTTAAAGAACCAACACAGTTCTAGGGGATCCTGAAATTTTTCTCATGCATTTCTTCACGTTTTCAACTTTGTAATCAAAAGGAAGTTGCATTCCAACACTGTAAAATAAGCAAAACTAAAAACCGTTGTTGTTTAGGCAATGAGTCCAGCAATTAAGATCACCTTGTTCCATGATTGTACAGTTTCCATATATGCATGGATATGTCCTCAGTTTGTCCTTTGCCACTGATCAAACCAATTCTGAGCCAATGCCACACTCTTACTTACTGTGGTGTAATAAAAAGTTTTGATATGTAGAAGGGTGTGTACCTTTGTTCATTTTTAGAATTGTACTATCTGTTTTTGGACTTCTATACTAACTTTAGTTTCAGTTCGTCGAGTTCCACTAAAAATCTTTTTTGGTATTTTGCTGAGTTAAATTTATAGGTTCAATCTGGGGAGCTATGACATCTTTATAAAATTCTGTCATCCAATATATTAATATTATGTTGCTTTTTAAATATCCTTCAAAAACATTTCCTAATTTGGTGATAAAACTCTTGTATGTCTTTGTCAGCTTTTTTTCTATGTACAACTTCTGTTTCTAGTATCAAGTCAGATCTTTTTTCTATTAATTTTTTAAGTTTCTTGCTGCTTCTGCTATAGATTCTGCAATAAAGTGGATTTATTTACCAAAAAAATCACCTTGTTCCACATGACAGTATTTGGGTTTGTAATTTGGTTCTGACCCCTGACCCCAGATTCCCAGGAAATAAACCCTTTCAGTGAGTGGTGATGACTCAGAGATATTGGGTCCCTTTCAGTCAGTATTTTTCCTGGCTCCTGGCCCTGGCCTCAGTTCAGGCTCAGCTACTGTGGGCACTGAGATGTGAAGCAGTGAAAGGTTGGTTTCTCAGCCATCTCTCTCTCCATTTCTCTCTACCTCTCAAAAAACACAATGCCATCTAGAAATAGTTTAATAAAAAATAAGAGTGATATTTAAAACGGAAACAGAGCTGACCAGCAAGTTATAAATACCAATGCCATTTTATATGATAGGGCTATCCCTGAAAATATACACACTGTTTGCTGCTTAGGATGCCTGTCATTCTATAAGTCTTTTGTGTGGACTGCTTCCCATGTTGTAACATTCTCTCCATTTTAATTCTCTCTATTGTTATTACCAAACACTTGATCATATTTATATAATCCCTCTGACAGTTAATCCTATCTATATGATCAATTAAACATAATATGATCACTTTAACATGTAAGATGGCATTATTACCACCCAGTTTCATGGGATTTGGAGTATCAGAGTGAGATTTTAGGTTTACCCTTAGAAGTAAGTCCATGGGGATGTATGCAAAACTATACAGTTCCTCTCTCTCTTATTCCCACCTTTATTTTTATAGGGATCTACTTTCAATTGACTTTATACACATATGATTAATTCTATGTTAAAGAAAGAGTTCAACCAATGTTATTAAGTAGGCAAAAATAAAAATAATTAAAAATAATTAAAAACTGTTCCTCAACAGATAAGACAAAGGTTGTTTAAGTCATTGCTTCTCATAGTGACAGTTTGATTTATATAGCTTTCATTTTAGGTGCTGTTAGTTATCACAGATCATGGAGAACATATGGTTTTGACCCTTTGAGACTGGCTTATTTCTCTCTAAGTATGATGTTTTCCAGATTCATCCATTTTGTTGCAAATGATCAGATTTCACCTTTTTTACCACTGTGTAGTATTCCATAGAGTACATATCCCAAAATTGCTTTACCCAGTCTTAGTTGATGGACATTCATGTTGATTCCATGTCTTAGCTATTATAAATTGAGCTGCAATAAACATGGGAATGCAGATAACTCTTGCATATGCTGATTTCATTTCCCTTGGGTAAATTCCCAGGAGTGGGATGGCTAGCTCATATGGTAGGACTACATTCAGATTTCTGACATGTCTCCAAACTGCCTTCTATAATGGTTTTCCAAGTCTACATTCCACCAACAGTGGATTAGGTTTCCTTTTTCCCCACAATCGCACCAGCATTTGTTGTTTGTTAATTTCTATATGAGAGGGCCGGCGCCGCGGCTCACTAGGCTAATCCTCCACCAGCGGCGCCGGCACACCGGGTTCTAGTCCTGGTCGGGGCGCCGGATTCTGTCCCGGTTGCCCCTCTTCCTGGCCAGCCCTCTGCTGTGGCCAGGGAGTGCAGTGGAGGATGGCCCAGGTGCTTGGGCCCTGCACCCCATGGGAGACCAGGAAAAGCACCTGGCTCCTGGCTCCTGCCATCGCATCAGCGCGGTGCGCCGGCCGCAGCGCGCCGGCCGCAGCGGCCATTGGAGGGTGAACCAACGGCAAAGGAAGACCTTTCTCTCTGTCTCGCTCTCTCACTGTCCACTCTGCCTGTCAAAAAAAAAAAAAATTTCTATATGAGAGCCATTCTAACTGGGGTGAGGCGAAATCTCATTGGGATTTAGATTTGCATTTCACTGATGGCTACTGATCTCGAACATTTTTTCATGTGTCTGTTGGCTATTTGGATTATATCAAAAGTACTGTCAATATGTGAAGTGGTGCTAAATTTTAAGTTTTGATAATATAAAATGCTGCTGATATAAATGTCTGAAAGTTAAAAAGTCTAATGATTTTGTGTTACTAGACGTGATGGTTATCTTAATGAGAAAGGCCCAGAGGCCTAAAGGGTTAACTGTTCTGTAAAATACTACAGGTGCTTTCAAAAACAATGGAGTAAGCAAGTGCCTCTTGTTGGTTAATGAGGTTATAACTTTTAATGTGGCAATTTAATCTTTTGACATCTACAGTTTTATATATGGTAATAAAAAAGACCTAAAGATTTCAAGAAGCTATTAATGAAACTGCTTTATTGTTCTACCTTGTATGTTACACGTGTGCACATATTGTATGTCTATATGGGAAGATTTATTAAGAGCTTTGTTTTAATTGCCTTATAGATAAAAAGATTGCTCATCGATTTAAACTGCTAAAAATAATCAAAGATACATTTTAATCCATGTGACCTGAATCTCTATTTCAGATGTTTTAAATCTGCTAGTACAAAGAAACTAAAAATATTTTATGTGCTTGTGCTTGAGTTTGCTGCTTAAACAAGCTACACAATGTTCGATACTTTAGAGATGTTTCCAAATACATGTATTCTTTTTTTTAACTTTTATTTAATGAATATGAATTTCCAAAGTACAGCTTATGGATTACAATGGCTTCCCCCCATAACGTCCCTCCCACCCACAATCCTCCCCTTTCCCGCTCTCTCTCCCCTTCCATGAACATTGATCCATTTTCGATTCTCTTTATATACAGAAGATCAGTTTAGCATACATTAAGTAAAGATTTCAGCAGTTGGCTCCCACACAGAAACGTAAAGTGAAAAATACTGTTTGAGTACTAGTTATAGCATTAGATCTCAATGTACAGCACATTAAGGACAAAGATCCTACATGAGGAGTAAGTGCACAATGACTCCTGTTGTTGACTTAACAAATTGACACTCTTGTTTACGGCATCAGTAATCACCCTAGGCTCTTGTCATGACCTGCCAAGGCTATGGAAGTCCCCTGAGTTCACTGACTCTGATCGTATTTAGACAAGGCCATGGTCAAAGTGGAAGTTCTCTCCTCCTTTCAGAGAAAGGTACCTCCTTCTTTGATGACCCCTTCTTTCCACTGGGATCTCACTTGTAGAGATCTTTCATTTAGGTTTTTTTCCCCCAGAGTGTCTTGGCTTTCCATGTCTGAAATACTCTCATGGGCTTTTCAGCTGGATCCGCATGCCTTAAGGGCTGATTCTGAGGCCAGAGTGCTGTTTAGGACATCTGCCATTCTATGGGTCTGCTGTGTATCTCACTTCCCATGTTGGATCATTCTCTCCCTTTTTTATTCTATCAGCTACTATTTGCAGACACTATTCTTGTTTATGTGCTCCCTTTGGTTCTTAGTCCTATCATCATGATCAATTGTGAACAGAAATTCATCACTTGGACTAGTGAGATGACATTGGTACATGTCACCTTGATGGGATTGAATTGGAATCCCCTGGTATGTTTCTAACTCTACCATTTGCAGTAAGTCAGCTTGAGCATGTCCTGGATTGCACATCTCTTCCCTCTCTTATTCCTGCTCTTATATTTAACAGCAATCACTTTTCAGTTAAGTTTCAGCACTTAAGAAGAATTGTGTATTGATTACAGTATTCAACCAAAAGTATTAAGTAGAACAAACAAAAAAAAATACTAAGAGGGATAACATATTAAGTTGCTCATCAACAGTCAGGGTGAGGGCTGATCAAGTCACTGTTTCTCATAGTGTTCATTTCACTTTAACAGGTTTCCTTTTTGGTGCTCAGTTAGTTGTCACATGTATTCTTAGAATTCATAGAAGCATTAGACCTTCTGGTAAATGTTTTCCTAAGTTGTTATCTAATGGTTGAAATACCTTTCTAAGTTTTTATTTGATATTGCTATTGTCAGTAAGTGATCTGGGACTTGCTCCCTCATTTCTCTATTCTTCTTCCCTTATTTCTCTATTTTCTTCAAGGTGGGAAACTGACTCTATACTGAAGGATTCTCTAAGATGCACAATTTGAATTTAGATCTTATAAAAGGGATGACTAACATTTTCTCTAATAATAGAATAGTCAAAAATGAGAGCTTAGATTATGATTTCACAGCTAGGTTTACCTTGACATGACACAGTAAATAGACCAAAAATGGGAGAAAAAAATTTAAAGTGAGGACATAGCTTTCCTCATGTGCATTGTCTGCCTCAGAAAAAAACCACTACCAGAACCTGCCTGTGACTATAGACTTCTAGTTTCACCTAATGAAGACTAGAGATGGGACTTGAGCACCCCTTGACTTTCATCCTCTGGTCTGCTTTAACAAAAGCCAGGAGCAGAAGAAAGCTAGGTATTAGAAGCAATGTAAACATAGGTGTTGCTGTGGATTCATTCTGAGGAGGAGTCCAGTGTGAGCAACAAGTGCAGAGTCACCACACAGATACCAGAAGTCG